TGTCAATTTCAAGCCTAAACTGATGCATCAGTGATCTTGTGAGAAAATACTTGACAAATGAGAGGACAAATTTTGGGGTACAACAATTAGTAGTTGAAAACATCATTATATCAGCACATATCATTCATCAATACATGTTACTCACACCATGATAACAATTATATATCTTGCGTCATAACAACCATCATATAATCTCATAATTCTAAAATATCATCGTATCACATCTCATCAACAAAAAATTATACAAATGCCACATAAAATGTTAATGTAACAACAGTGACTCAAATGCATGTGGTACCGAATTTTATAAACACTTGGTTCATCATCCTCTGTAATTCCCATCATAGGATCGATTCCCTCTTGGAATCAGAGCATATGACAAACACACTCAATCCGCACAATGGTATTGAGGCTCGTCACAAGTGGACCACCGTAAAAAAATGCTATAAATACATGATGCACAACAATATCACATATAAATTTGACCACAACTAGTCAATTGCATCATCATTCACATAATCATCATATAATCTTCACATGGCATGTACACACACTCAACATGCCCAACATAAACTTCAATCATCATAACATCATCAAATACCAGCACCATGGTAACATCATTAGAATACATCAAGTTATGTCATTTTAACAAACCATCATAGTATACCAACATATAAATAATACAATTAATAAACACATCGACATCATACCGCAACATACACTAACACCACAAAACCTCATTACATACAGATTAAATTTAGTTCAAGAAACTTGAAACCATTTTTACAAGAAAGTAAACTGTATTTTATTTCCATATTATCAAATGGCGCATTAAACGAACACCCGAACCTCAACTTATAAATTTTTGAAGTTTTATAAAAATGTTGCAAGAACTGATGGAAATCGATGTCCCCCCTTTAAGGACATCTATTTCCTTCACTCCATAAGCCAATTTTCACAATTTTCAAATTGGAAATTGATTTCCCAAAAGGTGGAAATCAATTTCCACTGTGACATAACCATTTTTCTTCTATTTCAGTATACGGAAACCAGTTTCATCCCAACCCCAAAACCCCAACTTTTTAAAAATAATCGGTATTCAAATTGTAAAGGTTCAATCCCAATATCATATAGAATTACATCATTCACCGACAAACACACCAACCAACACAACAACATCATATCACTATTCCTCAAATTGATTCAAACACAAAAAAAGATTATGACAATTATGCACATACACAATCCAACCATGGCAATCATAACCCTGTATCAATCATAATAAACCCGATTACACCCCTTACCTCGAATTCTTAGTAATTGATTCTCTTCCTCCGTGTTCTACATATTTCCTCTTTGGTGCTCTCTAAGCCCTAGCTTTCTCTCCACGTTCTCCCAGATTCTATTATCGTACAAAATGAGCCTTTCCTCTCTAATTTTCTCTTTTTATTTGTTACCCCTTTAAGGAAATTGATTTCTTCCACTCTAGAAGCCAATTTTCACAATTTTTTAATTTGAAATCGATTTCCCAAAAGGTGGAAATAAATTTCCACTATGATAGAAACAATTTTCTGCTATTTCAGTAGTGTACGAAAACCAGTTTCATCCCAACCCCAAAACCCAAACTTTTCCAAAACAATTGGTAGTCAAATTGTACAGGTCCAATCCCAATATCATACAAAATTACATTATTCATAAACAAACACATCAATCAACACAATAACATTATATCAGTATTCCTCGAATTGGTTCAAACACAAAAAATGATTATCACAATTATGCACAAACACAATCCAACCATGACAATCATAACCCCATATCAATCATAATAAACCCGATTACATCCCTTACCTCGAATTCCTAGCAATTCATTCTCTTCCTCTGTGTTCTACGAAATTCCTCTTTGGTTCTCTCTAAGCCCTAACTTTCTCTTCACGTTCTCCCAAATTCTACGATCGTACAGAATGAATCTTTCCTCTCTAATTTTCTCTTTTCATTTGTTACCCCTTAGACCCTTTCTATGTAATACCCCTTATGCCCTCACTTATCATCGTACTATTACCATCATGCCCTTGACACCTATGCACACTCAATTATTTCTATTTTAATTATTAATATAATTCTAAATATCACAACTAAAATTATTTAAATCTAGATAACTCTAACTATCATCTATCTCTCACTATTTCCCCACCATATATCATCACACATCACATAAAATCAATAATAAATAAAAAATAATCAAATGAATAAATAATTCTAGATTTTGGGGTGTTATACCATAAATTCAACCACGGAAACGACAATTTTCTAAGGAGGGAGACTCATCAATGTGTTTGGCATTTAAGCCATTTTGGTATGCTCTCATAAACATCTTATGGTTTTGATGTATTACCTTTATAGTTTCCTCATTTAATTAGGTAAGGTCATCCCTCAGAGACTTGGAATTCCCCTGAAGAACATTGAATAAGCGTGTTGTTCTAGTGATTACTCGCCAAAAACTGATGGAGTTTCCTCGAGAGTTCTTGAAAACTGGTCATTGAAAAATAAGGGAGGTTTATAAACCACCTGAGTGCCACTTACTTGAAAGTAATAAACAATATCTTACATTTCAAGGAGCCATAAGCACTAATTATCACCATCAGAGCATTGATGGAAGCGATGTGCTAATGAGGGGTCACATTTCCCATCAAATTCAACCATTGATAGCGGTTTGGAATTTTCTCGTACGAGGGTACCCCAAATTTTCTCAAAGAGATAATGGGGATCCAGAACCTTGTCGTCTTTAAGCTGATTGTCATCACGATGTCTTTCTTGAAGGTTTAAGACATTATCCTATAAGACTTGGTTGAAGCGACACAATTCCTTTATAACTCGCAACTCTACTAAGGCTTTATTGTTGCCGATACCACTACTTATAGTTGTTGTTGTGCCTCGTTGTGTCACCATGGTGGAGAGATGAGTGAGGCGATTCAGTAATAAGTGAGAGTGTAGTCTAGGTCAATTTTGTCGAAGGCCCACGACGAGCGTTAAATGTACTTGTGAAAATAAAATAAAGATGTGTTGCTCGTGTGAGGAATGCAATAAGGCTTTTAGGTATCCTGAATATTTGAATAAAATAAGAAGAATAATTTATAGCCACGATACATGTGGCAAGTTGTCGGTGAAGAATCAATTCTAACCTAAATACATGGCTACGACGTGGAAATATGAAGAGTCGTTCTTTCCTAAAAATAAGAAGAATAATTTCTTCATTAAAGAAGTAACAATATCTACTCCTTCAGAAATAAGTGGCATGACACTTATTGACATGAATGCCACGTAATGAATATGAGTTTGATTCTGGCGACCCATGCCCTAATCGTGATGCACCGAATTGGGAGACTCATTACCCATCCTGTCACATGTCACTTTCGTCGATTTCTTTCAGTAACCCTTTATGACACCTTTGGACATATTAAGTTATGAGTTGCTTTTTTTTAGTCCAATTAAAGTTTTTTGACTAAAAAATATATTAATTCAAATTGAAAAATACATTGATCATTACAAAATAAAGATTGCTAAAAACGGAAAAAAGGAGAATATATAAATAATCTTGCAATAACTAGGTTAATATCATACAACGACAACATGAAAATACCTAAAAATATAATAAAATAAAAGTAACTGAAATATTCATACTTCCAGATCTGCAACATTGACGTCTAAGTCTTTATGATATCAATAATGCATTGAAGTAAATATATGAATCTCAACCAACAAATATCATACTAAGACGGATAAATCAACAAACAATGCACAAAACAACTAAAACTTAAAAATAAAAAAAAAACAAAAAAAAAACAAATCTACAAGAAAAACCACTTATTTAAAAAAATGAGAGGGACAAAAATTAAAGTTATCCTAGTCAATTTTTTTTTTCTTCTTTAATACTTTTGCCTATATCAAGTTAAAAGTATTTTTAATTTTAATACAATATTAATTCTTTTTTCATTGTATTTATTTGATAATATTATTTTAATCACTAGCAATTCAATATATTTTACTTTATTTGCATTTTTTTTACAAAAGTCTTTATTTGCATATATAAAAAACGTGAAAAGGATACTTTTAAAAAGTACTATCAATTTTCTTTCCATTATATTCTTTTAATACGTCTACTTGAATCTACACAAAATACATATTTTTTATAATACTAAAACTAGCCTGCAAAATATTTGGTAAGAATATATATTTTTAGTAAATAAAAAAACACTAAAAGAAAAATGGACAGCGACAAAATCAGCCATAAATAACTTAACATGAAAATCAGCAACAAAGTAAAATACTAAAAGAACCCCACCTAAATCATTCCCAAATATATACTCTTAAATTTAATCTCTACAGAGCATGAATATTTTCATGTAGCTCGCATGACCCAACAACTGGCGTTCTCGTTATTTATCAAAAATATTCAATACTTTCCCGATATTTACCAAAATATTAAATTTCCATTCTTCTCCTCATGCAAACAATACTGTTGTTGTATTAATTATACCATAAATAAATTAAAAATGAATAAAATATTTATTTTACCAGAGTTATTTTTTAATTACATATGAGTAATTAAGTATAGAGGAAATTCTCTCCTTAATTCAATTAATTCAACCTTTGCCTTTGCGTATAATCACATTCATAACACACCATAAATAAATTCTACTGTAACAACAACAACAACACACACACACAAACCCACGCTCTCTCTATAACTTTCTCTCTCTAAAATTTCCATGCACATTATAATATATCATATGCTTGATTAGACTAATACACCGAGTTTCAATTTTGTGCCACCCAAAAACTCTTTTTTCTTCTTCTTCTTCTTCATTGCTGGAGCTAAAGTCAACATGCAATGATTTTAGCCCCAAATGGTTTGATCACGTTTAAGTTTTGCAAAAATATACTCTTTTTATTGAATTGAATTTTGGGTTTGTGTCAAATTTGAAGAAAAAGAAGACAAAATGGTGATGAAGAAAGAAGAACAGGGTCGTAAGTTGTTTGGAATTTCACTCTCTGATAAACCCAGATGGCAACAATTCCTCATTTGTTCTTCTGGATTCTTCTTTGGATACCTTGTTAATGGTATCTGTGAGGTAGATTTTTTATATATACTCTGTTCTTGTTTTGGTTTTTCTTGAATTTTTTTTCTTTCTGGTTTTGTTGATTAATAATGACTACAATTTCAGCAATTGGGTTGCAGAAAAAACTGAATTTTTATGCTTTTTTATTTTGTCTTGTTTCTATGTGTGTTTATTAGTGGTTAAATTGAATTTAGTTTTGTTTGATTTTGGTAAATTTCATCAATTTTTCATTTACCGTTTTTGCTTGATTTTCAGGAATATGTGTATAACAGGCTTCATTTCAGGTGAATTTCATAACATGTTTTTATTACTGTTTCATCTGTTAGTAGTTTTTTTTTTTAGCTTTGAAGTGAAATGAGTGATTTTGATTTGATTTTTTTTGTTTGTTTCAGCTATGGTTGGTACTTCACATTTATTCAAGGATTTGTGTACCTGTTTCTGATTTACCTTCAAGGTTTCACAAGCAAGCAAATGGTGAACCCTTGGAAAACTTATGTGAAGCTTTCTGCTGTACTCATGGGTTCACATGGTTTAACAAAGGGTTCTTTGGCTTTTCTTAATTACCCTGCACAGATCATGTTCAAATCCACTAAGGTAACTAAAAAAAAGCACAATAGACAAAAGAAAATAACTATCTTTACTTTACCCATTTTTGAAGGGTACTGTTTTTGATCTGCTAATTTTGTTGTTCGATTGTCTTTTATTTCTGTAAAAACTTTATTCATTTGGTAAAGTTTATGACAAAAGTATCATTTGGTTATGTTTGAAACACATGGAATCACACTCTCCACTTTATGTGCTTACATCACAATTCTAACATGCTTTTTGGTCTTGAAACTGTGTGATTCATGTTGTATAGCTTAGTGAAGATTGAATGTTGCAATTTTTGATGCTATGTAGGTTCTGCCAGTGATGATAATGGGTGCTTTTATTCCTGGTTTGAGAAGGAAGTATCCAATTCATGAATATATATCTGCAATACTCTTGGTTGTTGGATTGATCCTTTTCACACTAGCAGATGCACATACATCACCTAATTTCAGTGTTGTTGGTGTTGTTATGATAACCGGCGCTTTGGTCATGGATTCTTTTCTCGGAAATCTTCAAGAAGCTATCTTTACTATGAACCCTGATACCACACAGGTGATTGATTGATTTTCCGTCACTTCCTAACCATCTATGTAGCACCAACACAGACACAAACACAAACACGACCTAGATGAATTTTCTGTCGTTAATTCAAAATTTTCTAGTAGTATACCATACATCAACTATATGCCTTTTACCCCAAATTTGTCTATCTGATACACGACCCTGAGACGTGACACAAATAATAATTTCTTGACACAGATGGAGATGCTGTTCTGCTCAACTGTAGTGGGATTACCTTTCTTAATCCCCCCGATGCTTTTTACAGGAGAATTATTCAAAGCATGGACTTCATGTTCACAGGTAAATTTGGAATAAACAGCACCTTGTTTTTACCACATACAACATTATTCTGTTATTCCACTTTTCTCATCAATAGAATCACACTTTTCTCATCAATAGAATCACACTTTTCTTGTCCTTGCAGCATCCTTATGTGTATGGTGTTTTAGTCTTTGAAGCAATGGCAACATTTATAGGTCAAGTTTCTGTCCTATCCCTTATTGCCCTTTTTGGTGCCGCCACCACAGCCATGGTAATTTACTATCACAACCTTTTCCTCATTTCAATTTGTCACTTTGGAACTTTGTACCAAACCTAACATTAATATGTCACATATTTGAAAAAACAAGCACCTTGTGCATCATCACCAATGCTATTAATTCACCTTACCATAAAATTAACCTTATTTGAATTCATTGAATTGTGTATGATGACAGATAACAACAGCAAGAAAGGCAGTGACATTGCTATTGTCATATTTGATATTTACAAAGCCATTAACCGAACAACATGGAAGTGGACTAATACTCATAGCTATGGGAATCACATTGAAAATGTTGCCTGAAAACAAACCCACCATCAACAAAAAAGCCTTAAATTCTTCTCCTAATAGTTCAAAATCAACTACTGGTGATGATGAAGAGATGGGTGGAGTCCATGATTCTGTAGGTGGTGAAGATGATGAAAGAAGGCCTTTGGTTTAGCTTAAAATTTAAATGTTGTTAATGCAACTTTTATTAATTTTTTTTCATGTTATTATTTTGAATTTTTCATATTTTGTTTGTTAGTTAAAGGAAAAAGAAAAGAAATGATTTGATGTTTAATATATTAATTTTAGTTAAATGGTTTAGATATAAATAATCCATTTGCAAGCTTATAAATGTGACAATTTCAGCCTTGTATTTTAATCCAACGAATAGTCGTGATTATGACAGAGAAGTCGGTCACAACAAGTCTACAAAATATTAATACAAAAAACAAAAATAGTATAATTTCGATTATTGGCCACTGTAACCGAAAAAATATATAGTGCGAGATGTGGTCCTTTTAATAAATCTAAAGCCAATAAAATTACAAATTGATAAAAAAAAAGAGCAAAACAATGGTAAATTATTTGGTACTATAGTATGAACTATGGATTTTAGTTGGATATATTTTTAGTTAAAATTGATTTATAATTTAATTTGCATTAAAATAAAATAAAATAAAAAAAATAATGTTATTGAATAACATTGTTTGATTAAGTGACTTATATAAGTATTTGGATATTAATAAATCAAACTGCATATTTATAGTATTTATTTAGTTATTTATTAGTATTATATATTCTATTTTATTATATTAATTTATTATTTATTAATTTATAATTTATTTTAGTATTTATTATTATTTTTAATTTATTTTAAAGATTAAATATATATTAAACTTTAATATATTTGAACATAAATAATTTAGTTTTAATAATAATTAACTTTCAATCACCTATAAATAATTTCAAGCTGTCATTTAAAGAAATCAATTTTTACAAATTTAAATATCAATGATAATAACTTTAAATACAATATTAGTGCTTTTTTTAATCACAATTTTAATTCTAACTAATTGATGTATGGGGCTTATCTAGGCGTATCAAGAAATATCACGTCGGAAAATATTTGAATATTTAAATAACTTTTATTTGAATATTTAAATAATTTATTTTATTTTTTTATTTAACTATATTTTAGATTAAAGATTTATAAATTTCTTTAAAGTTTAAAGTTTTTATGTTTTATGTATTTAAAGATTTTTGGTATAGTTATAAGGATTATATTTCATTATAATAAAATTAAAGTTTATTTTTCTTTTTGGTGGATTTTAGTACTTTTTTAATGGATTTCAGAGCTTTTCAGATAGATTTTGCGCAAGCAACCTATGTTTTTATTCGAGGTTTAACGCTTGATATTCCTTAGAATTTTTGACTGCGTCAGTTGGTATTAGAGTAGATTTCTCATGTTCTTTTTGAATCTTGACGGTCATGGCGGATCAACTGGTAACTAGAATAGATCTTGTGGCTTTTACCGCGGCTCTAACTACTTTGACTAACAGATGACAAATTTAGTAAATAAGGTGAACAACGACAACAAAACATAAATATGTGAACATAACAGGTTAAGGTTCCACGAGTGGAAACAATCATTGTGCTATTAATGTTATTGCTGAAAATTCGAGTTCTGAAGAAGAATCCTACGAGGAATAGGTCGGTGAACATGGGAATCAACATAACCATGATTATCGAGTGAATACTGATATTTCATTATTCTGTGGAATGATGGGAGTGGAGAAATTTCTAGATTGGCATATTGATGTTGACAGGTTCTTCGACGTTATGGCTTTCCTGAGAATAAACAAGTTAAGATGGTGGCGATCAACCTAAAGAGTATTGCACCTGTTTAGTGGGATAAACTTGTTGTTCAAAGAAAAAGGCAAAGGAAGGGACCAGTCAGAACTTGACGAAGAATGAAACAATTGATGTTGGAGCGGTTTTTACCGGAGGATTATGAACATATTCTTTATAAGATGTACATCGAATGTGTTTAGGGAAAGAGAAGTGTAACTGAATATGCTACTGAGTTCCTGTGATTTTCTAAGCGCAATTAATTGGGAGAATCACAGGCCCAGAAAGTGGCTCGATACATCAGTGGCCCAAAGGAATCCTTGTATGAGAAGATGAGTTTATAGACTGTACAAGAAGTTGAAGAAGATATGCTTAGACAAAGGACTAAAATAGACTGGATCAGATTAGGTGATAGTAATAGCTCCTATTTTTACGCATCTATGAAAAGAAAATACAACAACTCTCACATTCAGTTTCTCTTGGATAATAATGGGAATAAACTGCATGACCAAAAAAAATTGATATGGAAGTGTTGAGATTCTACAAATATCTTGTGGGGAGTAAAGCTCCCGACATGAAGTGTATTAATATCGAGGCTATGAGGAATGGAAAGAAACTTAACTCTGACCAATGCAAGTTTCTGATCACGCCTGTTTGTGAGAAGGAAATCCTTGAAGCCTTGAAGAGCATTAGTGACATCACTGCTCTAGGTATTGATGGGTATGGCTCAATTTTTTTTAAAGGTGATTGGCCTATTATTAATCAGGATGTCAATGCTACAGTGCAAGATTTCTTTAATAATGATAGAATCTATAAGGCTGTAAACAATACTCTGGTTACTATTATCCCCAAAACTTGTTGGTGTAAGCCCTAGAGGCCAATACTTTTGGTACTTGTATCGAATTATTTATTAATAATAAAAGGCATTTCTTTATTATGTTTGCTTTCCAAAATAATAAAGTCCCTAGAATGGTTTGTTTGTTTAATGAAATGTTAAGTGTGACTTAATCATGAGATCCCATTAAACATAAGACACTATTCTTAAAGTATCTGTAGTCAAGCTTTAATGTGAAGTGGGATAACATTAAAGCATTAAGATTATTATGAAGATAGATTGATGATCACATCTCATGGATCATAGATAAGGAGTTATCAAGTCTTGACATAGGTATGAATATTAGGAGTAATATTTATACTGGATTGACCCGCTATGAGAATACTACATAGAATGTTATGTAAAGTGTCATAAGTTATTCTCATGATGATAATGGTGTATACCACCCTTCGACCTGAAACCACTATGGACCCTAGATGTAGAGTCAAGTACTTTATTGCTGATCAAACGTCATCCGTAACTGGATGACTATAAAGACGGTTGATGGGTACTTCACAAAGCATGCTAAGAGACATGAGTGACCTAGATGGAATTTGCTCATCCTGCATAACAGGATAAATGTCTAAGGGCCCAATATTGAACTGGACAAGGGTGACACAGTGTATGCCTTGTGTTCAATATAGACATGAGGGCAAAAGGGTAATTGTACAACACAAATATTATCACGGAAAAGGTTTGGTCAGATCACATGACATTTTCGTGACTTGGGTAACAGTGATGTGTTGCTAGATACCGCTCACTATTTATTATATTAAATGTGTGATTTAATATAATTGTCAACGTCACGAAAACCTACAGGGTCACACACATAAGGACAGGTTGATGAGAGATAGAATAAATAAGGAACACCGTAAGATACGGTGCACTTAAGTGTAATACGGAAAGTGGTAAGGTACCAAGTGGATAAGTGATATATGGTACATCATAAGGTATGATGTCCATAAGCTTAATTGGGCTTTTAGCTTATAGCCTTAATTGGGCTTTTAGCTTGTAGCCCCCACGAGTGATTCTATAAATAGATCCCTTGTGATGAAGCAATTTCACTTGATGCAATTTCGTTTTTGATTCTCTCTCTCACTCAAGGTTTCTGTTCGTGATCAGCTAGCACTGTGACCAGAAGCGATCTGTTCGTGTGGACTGAGTAGAGGCGTTGTTCTTCATCAACGCTCGTGATCACAACATCAAAGGTCTGAATCGCCACAAGAGGTAAATATTTCTATCACTGACCATGCTCATTCGTAAGGATCGCTAAAGGAAAATTTTAAATTCCGCTGTGCTTTTGATCGCAATTTTCCTTCAAAACTGTCCCATCCAACATGATTAAGGATTTTAGGCCTATTTTATGCTGCTCTACCATGTTAAACTACCCTTGTCCCTGAACAACATATCCAAGATCATGTCCTGCTGGCGTATGAACTTATAAGAGGGTATAACATTAAAGGTGGAGCTCCTAGATGCATGATGCAAATGGATATGCAAAAAGCATATGATAATGTTGAGTGGAAAGATGTGGAAGATATCCTATCTGAGACGAGTTTCCCCAATAAATTCATCAAGTGGGTTATGCTGATGATTCAGACTATGACTTATAGATATAAGGTAAATGGTTCTCTTACTGATAATCTGATAGCTCAAAGGGGTTTATGCCAATGGGACCCCTTATCCCCCCTTATTTTTGTGTTGATCATGGATTACTTCCGAAGGCTTTTAGTAGACTTAAAGAACCAACCCAATTTTAATTACCACTCCAAGTGTGAAACCTTGAATATTGTTAACTTGAGTTTGCAGACGATCTATTAATGTTTGCCATGAGTGACACCATATTTGTCCAGTTAATGATGCAGATTTTTAAAACTTTTTCTGATTCTACTGGCCTGGCTGTGAACAAGGATAAATGTAAACTTTTTCTTTGGGAATGTGGAGGATAACATCAAGCAGGAAATCAAGGATATCACTAGGTTTGAGGATGGAAATTTTCCTTTTAGGTACCTTGGCATTCCTCTTACTAGCAAGAAGTTAATTGTGAGCAATTGTATGGGTCTTGTAGAGAAAATTGTTGGCAAGATCAGACATTGGAGTTCTATGCTTCTTAGCCATGCTGGTAGAACCCAACTCATCTGTAGTGTCCTTTTTTCTATTGGCAATTTCTGGATGCAAAGTCTACCTGTCCCTAAATTGATCATTAAGAAAGTGGAGGTAATTTGTAGGTCTTTCTTATGGGCTGAGACTGATATCATCACCAGAAAATCTCTTATCGCATGGAAAAAAGTATGTCTACCCAGAAACAAGGGTGATCTCAATATCATGTCTCTCAAGGAGTGGAATATTGTGTGCCTTGCTAAAAATCTGTGGAATCTATCAGAGAAAACTGATAGCTCATGATCTGTTGGGTGCACTGCTATTACTATAAAGGAAAAGACATTAGAACTATGCATATAAGTAAAAGTAGCTCGTGGATTTTGAAAAACCTGCTGAAGATTAGAGATAAGGTGTATAATCTTCAAGAGTGGGAGGATTTGAAGGACCAATCCAAATTCCACACGAGGAAGATTTATCTTGGCCTCCTGAACATGTAACCCGATGTTCCTTGGAAAATTGTTATATATAACAACTTTGCTAGACCTAAAACAATTCATACACTCTGAATGGCTTGCCATAGAAGCCTTGCAACTAAGACTAGACTGGTGCGCATTGGTGTCATGGACTCTGATTATTGTTGGTTCTGTAGGAACTCTGATACACAAGAGCATCTGTTGTTTGCTTGCCCTGGGCTGAAGCCTATTTGGGGCCACATTCTGAGGTGGTTAGAGGTAAATCATGACCCATAGAATTGGTCAAAAGAGATTAGCTGGATTGTTAACATTTGTAGGAAGAAAGACCGGAAAACAGAATTGTTCAGTGTGCTTTCACTGAAACAATTCATGAGTACTGACTTTCTCGTAACAAGATTAGCTTTGGTAACACTATAGATAGTAGAGTGGTTGTAAACAATATCATTGATGTTTTTGGAAAATATAAACCAACAAAGTCCAAGAATTGTCGTTGAGATTTTTTAATAAATAATTTTATTATTTTATAATATCGGTATTTTTAGTTTTGATGGTTGAATAGAGTTTAAAGTTTAGTCTTACCCCTCTAATTATTTGGAGTAAGAGGCTCTGGTAAGTTGAAGGTAAATAAAATTTATTAAGTATTATGAGACGTCCACTCGTGCGATGCACGATAACAAGATTAACTTTAATAACACTATAGATAATAGAGTGGTTGTAAACAATATTATTGATGTTGTGACCTATCGGATTTGGATGAAACCTAAAGCTAGAAATTTCCTTAATAATTTGTTAGTGATTTGAGTTTTCTTGCCCTTTGTTTTATTTTAGTCTTGCTAGTTTGTTCTGTTCTGATTTTTTTAAATCTTTTTTCAATAAAATTATTTTTTATTGATTACAAAAAAATAATTAGAATATATTTTTCTTTCTGGTGGATTCCAGAACTTTTCTAGTAGATTCCAGAGCTTATACGATAAATTTTGTATTTATAACAAGTATTTTTATTCTAAGTCGAGCGCTTACTATTCCTTAAAATTTTCGAATACGTCATTAATTAATTTATTCAATTATAATAATTTGTTTAACATTTGAAATTTTTATGATATCTGATATTTTTGTTTTATATTGAAGTATTTTGTAGTTTATTATTGTGAAATAAAAACCAATAAAGTAATATGCATTATAAATATAATTATATGAAAATGTAAAATGTTTAGCCAAGGAAGGAAAATATATATATTTTAACATAAAAAAAGAAAGAGGATGTAATTGAATTATTTCTAAAATGTTACTATTCCGAAACTATTATATTTATTAATGACTTAAAATCAAACTATTATCCCTCCATAAACTATGCTCTATATGTAGTAGAAGTAGTAGTTTACAGCTATGTAAGAACGTTGGTCGGTGGCCATGTGGTGATTCAAACGTGTCAACAACGTTCCTTCAAAACAGACAACCATAATACCGCTACGTGTTTGTTCATTTACATGCAAAGTGACACTAGGATAACTAAAACGAAGAGAATAAAAAAAGAATAAAAATAAAGTTGTTCATTACTGTGAACTGAAAACATTGCAAGAAGTTAAATCCTTCTGCAAATAATAATTAACCACAAAGTTCCAAAAATAATTATTTAAAAAAGAAGAGGCTTGATTGATCAGTGGTATAATGGATGAGAGAGGTGACAACAAGAACACCACAAGCCTCCTCCATAGTGGTGATATTGAAAGGAAGAGTGAAAGACCAAAAGAACCTTGGAGAGGAGAATATGTAAAGAGCATAGTTTATGGAGGACTTGATGCTATTATCACATGCTTTTCTCTCATTTCCTCCATTTCAGCTACCACTAGTTCCTCTGGTATAATTATACATAAATATACATATTCTTTTTCTTAGAAGATATCATACTCTAATTTTAATTTAACTTGTGTGTTATGTGAATATAGGGAATGTGTTGGTTCTAGGGTTTGCAAACTTAGTAGCAGATGCAATATCAATGGGATTCGGAGACATAGTCTCTGCTAGCTCCGAGCGGGATGTAACCATGGAGGAGAGGAGAGTCACTGAATGGGATGTTTTAAATAGTAGAGAAAATGAACAAAGAGATTTAGTTAGATACTATCAGTCTCTTGGAATGGATTACAACGACGCAACCGCGGTACGTGTACGTGTAGTAGATAAACTCGAATAAGTCAATTCAAACAGAGTCTGGTCTAATAAACTGCAAAATTGCTTATAAGTTCTAAACATGATTATTTACTTTGGTGCAAGGTTGTGAACATATTTACAAAATACAATGACATACTAGTGGACCAAAGAATGGCAGCTGACAAAGGAATGCTACCAGCAGATCAAGAAAAGAAGCCATGGAAGAATGGCTTAGTGACCTTTGCATCGTTCATGGTTTTTGGCTCAATACCTCTGCTATCTTTCATCATCCTTATACCATTTACAGATAATGATTCGGTTAAGTTTGTTAGTGCTTGTCTTGTTTCATCACTTGGCCTTGCACTTCTTGGTGTGGCAAGGGCAAGAATTGCTGGTCAAAACATGATGTTGACCACAGGTGTTACTCTTTTCAGCGGTGTTATAGCTGGAGCTGCGGCTTATTTAGTAGGGTGGTTGCTAAAGCATGTTGCAGGAATAGAAGGTTGATAACAATAGGAAATGATTAGCAATAGCGTCTTTTTTTTAGGACTGTTTTTGGCAATGAAAGATATGTACACAAACTGTGGGCTACTCACTTTGGACAAAGTCCTAATTTTGTACACATGTCTAAAGTTTATGTATTAGGTAATTAGGCAGGTTATCTTAGTTGTATTGTAGCTAATTCCCCCACCCCACCCAAAAAAAAAAAAAAGTCTAATGTGTACTTGCTAGTCAATTTTTGTGGGGATGGTTAGGGAAAATATCAGTTGAATTTCTGCACCTATTTTAATACAATTTTTGTGGTGATATGTTTAGGAATGTGATGATCACATGAATATATTTCTATTATTAATCTTTACTATATTCTTTTTCAACATTTGATTGCAATAAGCTTTCTTTATTTACAAGTCAGATTGCTTGTTCTCTAAGTCAAAGTCTAAAACAGAAAAACCCAAAATATCTAGGTCTAAGTTGAAATTCTGTCGAGAAACTTGCTTCGATATTTTGACACGTACAACTCGACACACTTACAGACTAGTCGAGTAACTTGTTGCTTCGACACAAATGAATTATATTCTCAACACACCATTTAATTCACTGTGTCTAAGTTGTCTACATTCATTATAGTTCGTAGTCTTCTGAACACTTCAATTTGCATACCTTTTATCACGATGTCTGCAATGTGATTCTCAGTTCTGCAGTGTTTCAAGTTTATTGTCTCATATGCTACATGCTTACGAAGATAATGGAATTTCATTTCGATATGCTTGCTTCTGTCATGTGCTATCAGGTTCTTCGCTAGATTGATAGTTGACATGTTGTCGTTCTTCATGATAATTTCTCCATGACTTTTTCATGTAATCTCTTCGATCAAGTTCATCAACCATATTGTTTGACATGCACAAAGAGAAGTAGCTATGCACTCTGTTTCACATGATGATAGTGTCACTACTGGTTTTTTTCTCGAACTCCAGGAAACTGGTGTACTATTTAGCATAAACACATAGCCAGTTATGGATTTTTGATCTTCAACATCATTACACCAACTTGAGTCTGTGTATCCCACTAATTTACATTCTTTTCCTCTATCAGCTGCAGGAAAAAGAATGTCGTAGTTGAGAGTTCTTTTCAGATACCTCAATATCCTTTTTGTCGTTGTTAGATGTGATACTTTTGGCTTGTGCAAGAATCTACTCACCATACCTACACAGTATGCTAAGTCAGGTCTTGTGTGATAAAGATACTTTAATGACTCAATAAGTCTTCTTTATTGGGTTGAGTTGAGATCATTTTCATCTAAATCTTTCGGCAGTTGCAGTCTTGGTTCACAATATGTTGAAGTCGAGTTGCATTCTTCCATCTCAAATCTCTTAAAAAATTTACTTTCATATCTTCTTTGACACGTCATCAAACCTCTACTACTCTTGTAGAATTTGATACCAAGGAAATATGAAATGTCACACAGATTAGAGATTTCGAATTCCTTGCTAAGATCACCTTTGAAGTCTTTGATTTCTTTCTTGCAGCTACCTTTATTAACAAGTCATCGATATAGAGACATAGTATAATCAATTCAATCTTGCTTCTTCTTATATATACTACATGCTCAGCTATGTGCTTCACAAATTCCTTCTCATCAATTTTCTTATTCCAATCTCTTAGAGCTTGTTTGAGTCCATACATGGATTTATGCAGCATGTATCCCTTTCTCTCTTTGCCATGTTTCACAAATCCAACTGGTTGTGCAACATAAACTTCTTCATCTAAGGGTCCATTTAGGAATTCACATTTCACATTCATCTGATATATGTGCTAACTTTTCATTTCCGCTAGACCAACAACCAACCTGATTGTTTCGATTCTAGAAACAGGTGCAAAAACTTCACAAATGATTCCTTTTTTCTGAAAAAAATCTTTCGCCACAAGTCTTGCCATGTGTCGAGTTACCTCTCCATTGAGATTCAACTTCACCCTCTATATCCACTTAACATCAATTACCTTTTTGCCTTGAGGCAATTTGACAAGTGACCAAGTGTTGTTGACTTCAGCATACTCCAATTCCTCATTCATCGCTTTCACCTACTTCGAATCCTTCAATGTCTTAACTGCATTGACTGGTTTATTGTACCCCAAAATTTGTCCTCTCATGTTTCCCAAGTTTTTCCTCTTACATGGGTAGTTACAAACACTGGCCTAAAGAAAATGATTTTTTCTGAAGGATGGTCAAGTGTCTTTCGATTGGCATTTGAACAGTGTCTTTCAATTGACATGTCAACCAAATGCCCTTCGATTGGCATGTCAACAATGTCTTTTGATTGGCATCTGAACAATGTCCTTCGATTGACATATCAGAGTAAAGTATCCTTCGATTGGCATGTCAACAAGCTTCGATTAGGCATCTAAAACCCTTCGATCAAGCATTGGCCCATCAACTTCGATTGTGTGTTGGTTCCCCTTCGAGTAAGTCTTGGTCCAAGTTTTATTTAGGCAAGAACCTCCTACAAGTTTCTTTTGATTCACCAACAGTGGCCTCCTACATGTTTGTTTTAATTCACAGGGGCAAAAGTTTCTTTCATGATTGCCTTCAATGCATAAGGCAAATACTTCCTCTGTGCTTGCTTTCAATGCACAAGGCCAAGACCCCTCAATGCAGTTTCTGCATTATGACACACAATATGACCCCTTCGAAAGAGCACTCCAAAGGTCCATTCGAAGGACACATATTGGGAGCCATTTGAAGGAAATGTAAATGATCCATTCGAAGAAGCATTCAAAGGCCTATTCGAAGGACATATAGTGTTGTCAGAAAAAAGGGTTTGGTCAAAGATTGGATCTAGTTGGTCAAAACGAAAGAGAAATATTCAAGGAAGCTTCGACTGGCTAGGATGAAGTCTTTCGTTTGGCTTAGTTGGGTAGTGTCAGAGTCAATCAAAGAATAAGGAAAATAGGGACTCAATCGAAAGCCATAATGATGAGGTCTGGAGCAATTCGAAGGAAAGTGAGGAGGCGTCTATAAATCCTTCGATTGATAAAGAGCTGAAGCAACATTCGACCAGTCAGAAAGGGAAAGTTGATGCTTTGATTTGGTTTGAATTGAAAGAAAGGCAATCAAAGAAGGTAACACTTGGGGATTGATTGAAGACACTCAGGTGAAGGAAATTCTGAGCAATTTGAATTCGTTCAAGGCGCCAAACATCACATGTCCATGTTCATAACACACACAAGTTGGGTAAGAATATGCAATTATGGCAATTTTTCAAAGTATGTGATTTTGTTCTTAAAGTACATGATTAAGGTTGTTTCTTTCCATACTAAGATTTTGTTCTTAAAGTACATGATTAAAGTACATGATTGATGATTTTGTTCTTAAAGTACATGATTTTTTTAAAATTAATTTAATTATCATAAATTGATTAAATTAATTATTTTGACCTTTATTTAATTAATTTAAAATCAATTAGACTTAGATTTATTTCATTCAAAATCTTTCTTAACAAAAATACAAAAAATAATATTAGAATTAGTTTTCTTGTATTTATTTAATTAATTAGGATTAAGTTTAGTCTTCCTCATTTTAATTTTAAGTATTTTCTTAATAAATAAACAAAACCAAAAAAGATTTTTATGTTTACTTAGGAATTTCTTAGGGTTTTAGACGTTTATCTCTATTTCGCACGCATTATCTTATTCTTGCATTTTTATAATAACGTACCTGCTGATAATATGTAATAGATTAAAATAGGACTTTATCGCTTTCTTAATTTTTTTCTCCCAACTTTTGGACATATAAATTACCCCCTCCCCGAAACACTGTAATAGCGTAGGATTTAGCTTTCCGCACTTTAAATTTCTGCAATATATTAACTGCTTAGATGTATGACTAATAGGACTGCATGATAAGAGCCTAATAACAAAACGCTAGCAAACTTCAAAGATAAATGAACTGAATATAACACATATTGCACATATACACCTCTAGGGTACGCCCACTTTGGTTGCCTTCGGAAAATAGTCATAACTCTCGAAATGTGAGAGGTTTTAGTGGCTACCCTCTGGTTCAAAAAGATCATAAGTCCCTCGATGACCCACTCGACGTTGCCTCGGTAAAAATATGATCTTAGAACCTTAGGGTAGTTACTAAAGCTTCTGGCCCAGTTGCCTTTGTGACTATAAAAACATCTATTCGAATGTCCCTCATACATCCAATGATAGGGATACCTACTCACTAATAGTAGGATAACATTGTCTAAAGGATAGGAGGAAAAGAACGAACCTTTTCGAGTACAAGTAGATAGCTGTTAGATGCTTGCTCAAAAACAAACTTTTTACACTTACACAAAACATTTCAAAACACTTACAAAAAAAACATTCATTTTGTCAACACTCTTGAGGACTGATACAAAGCGAATCGCCGCACTAAGGTATTTTCAAAACTACATTCTTTTCAAAAAAACACAAAGCACAAGGTATTTTAAAAAATGAGTTAAGCATCTAAGAGCCCATAGAAAACTACGGATGGAAAGGGTGCTAACACCTTCCCTTTCCATAATCTACCCCCTTACTCAGAAAATTCTTGAAAAGGTCTTTTTCTATTCTTTTCACCCTTTCCTTAATTTGGATAAAAAGAAAAGTCGGTGGCGACTCTTGCTTACCGCAACATTTTGTGAACACAAAATGCAAAACCAGTATAACAGTCGGTTCTGCCACCGTATCACAAAACTGGCGACTCTGTTGGGGATCTTTAAAAAGTGGGGTTACCTTAGAGTTTAGTTCATCATTTTTAAATTGCTTTCCTTGTATGCTTAGCTTGCTTTATCTTAAAGGGTTTTGCTTGGGTTTACTTGTAAAGATCCTACACCCGGATCTGGGGAACTTTTTAGGTAAGTAGCAATAGATCGTGGGGACTGTGCGGGGTATACCGATACAGTTGAAATGATAGCTACGTTGATGTGGCACATTTGTTGGTACCGGTAGCCCTTGAGTAGACAAGGAGAATACGGGGCCGC